TTGTTGGCCACTGTTGTCATTGTTCCATTTTTCCTTTGGAAATGACATCACAATAAGTTCCTTTAACTATCTTTTAGAGATGTGTGCAATGCCACTCCAAATAGCAACCTCCAGATGCTAGTGAAGAGCAGACTGGATTGTGAGTTGTCTGAGAATGTAGTGTATTACTCCAGTCACCCTAGGATTACTTGAGTTCAGTTCTCAAAGTTAACCATTCAATTCTTTATTGTTCATTGGGCCACTACAGAAGTCTGACTTATTGAGTCTGTTTGCAGTGTAGACTCATCTTTTTTTCTAAAGAAAAAAAATATTTGAAGTACTTTTACATCCATGTCAAAGCATTCATAGTGTTATTGAATTAATCTATTGTCCTTTAGAACAATGATGGTACAATTCAAAAGAAGATTTGGTTTTATTATATTTGATCTACAATATTTACCCATTTATATGCAGGTAGATTTATACGTGTCTTTTAATGATTTACAGTCACAACACATCTACTTACTTTTCTCTTCAAGACCAGTAAACATTTATAAACATTAAAATAAGAACTCTAAATTATTCAGCACAGCTGCTACACTTGCTGTTTTGCTACACTTTACGGTTTTGAATCTCCAATAGCCAGGAAATCTAGCAGTAATAGGTCTGATTATCAGGTCAGACTGACCTCTGCTTGGGGCAGAGAGGGGAAAAAGTGGCTTTAACACATTTTTGTGTCTTCCCCACATTTCAAGCAGCTTCAGACCAGAAAGAATGCACCAGCAGTGCTGAATAACCAGAGTGCAGTGGCAGTGAGGCTACTTCCCTTTCCCACTGGCCACAGCCCACTGTGCTTCAAAGTGAAGGGGGTGGCACAGAAGAATTTTTGTCAGAACCAACTTAATTGGCTTTATGGTCCTTTGATGCCATCGGATCCTTTGACAGTAACAAAATGACTGTGCAGTGCTGCCTGGCTGAGGGAGTGTTTCTTTACCTGGCAAATCCAGAGACATGACCATTTAAGGATGTGACTTCTCCCTGATGGAAAATGTCCTAGTTGCAGGGTGAAAGGAAAAGTGCTCTCATACTAGCAGGGGAGGAGTGGTCCCTGTAATAAACAGATGTAGTTCTATTATGCACTGAGTGTGTGCCGCCATCATTCCAAAGATGGGATCTGAGTGTGCTAACCTACGACTAGCAGACAGCAAGCTCACATTACATAGCAGCATAAATGGACCATAACCATATGGCCAGTCCCAACAACTCAAGAATCATGAGTAAGTCCCTACTAGAATATTGAGATTTAATAACAATGTTGGGGTCTTTTGATTTGCCTTCTGCTTTTTGAGTCTGCAAGAGGTGCTCCGATCATAGTTTCAGGCTCTTCTCTGCAACTATGAAGGATAGAAACTTCCTTTTTCTGTTTTAATGAAAGACAAGATTCTCATGTAATCACTTGCTTCCAAGAGCTGAGACTTTAAGAATAAAATAATCAACTATGGCGAGACTTGCCACAAAACCAGAAGAATGGGGAATATTGCATAATGCAACAATTGGGTGTCAGGTTTCTATGGCAAGTTGAATTGTACTCCCAGGGCTATACTCATTATAAGCCGTGCACTCTCCAAGAGCATCTCAGTCCCAACACTGGATGTTCTTTTTGTACTGTGCTTCTGTCATCTTCTCTTGGTTCTAGAGCCAGCAGCAGAGTAGAAAAGCAGGGGGCTGGAAGTTCTACCAGAATGCCTCGGTGTGTAAGAAGAACTGGGATAATTCTCAGTCCATCTGTGCTCGTCGTCATATTCATTAAGGCAGCTGTAGCCTGGACTTGTCCCTGAAGAGTTGTTGCTGTCTTAGAGCTGTCAGACACCTACCCCTACCCTACTGCAGTGTGAAAAGCTGCAGAGGGATTGTTACTGTTGCTCAGGGCAACAGGAATTTGTGATATGTTTTGCATGGTAACTTAGCAGCCCTCAAAGGGGAACATGGTGTTGGTGTTCCCTGATTCCTCTTCCTCCTCCTTTGTCCACCAATTCAGGCTAAATGAAACTGAGATGCCTGTGTGATAGAGTTTACATTATGTTGAGTCTTTTACCCTCAAATGGCATGATTATCATGCAAGATTCTCCAGGGAAGCCGGGGGCAGGAGATTTGACTTCCAATCTTCCCCTGCCACTGAGGACAAAAATGTGAGCTGCTCTTACTGCATAGGTACACAGACGCTATTCTCTTCCTGCTCCTTCCAAGAAGCAAATTGTCCCAAGTGGGTTGGTTGTGGGGAAAGGGCTGGAAACAGGCCTAATGCCAGCAAAACTCCTCTGTAAAAATTAACTTAAATCTTTAAATTAATGTTAGAAATACAGAGTTGGATGGAGAGACAACATTGGAAGTTAGGGGGTGGAGAATTGAAACAGATGTCCTCAGGTCTTTTGAGAACTGGCCAAAAAAAAAAAAAAAAAAAAAAAAAAAAAAAAAGAAGAACTTGGTAGTCTCCAGCAGTGACAACCTTTGTCAAAAGTCTTGTTTCAGCTGCAGCTGGTTTTTTTTAAGCAGAGCTCATACACAAAGCTCACACTTCCTCTTCTTAAGCTTCCACACTTTCATACACAAAGCTCACAGTTCCTCTTAAGCTTCCACACTTTCACTGCTAGCAAGAATCACAGAAACCCAATTAAAGTCAGCAACATTGGGGCTGTTTTGCATTTGCTCTAAAAGGGATTTCCCTGATGTATGGTGTTGAAGTGTGTGTTACAATAAGTGATACTACAACATGCTCATGATAATATCACACTTCTAAATAAGATAGCAGGGGCTGACCTCATTCCTGGTGTCATTGCCCTGAATTAAGTGGGAATTATGAGTAGGGAAAAGGTAGGGCCTTTGAATACTGCATCTTCACACAGATTTTTGCTGTGCGTTAAGAGGAAGGATGAACTTGTGGGGGAAAAAACATGGAGGGGAACTTAAGAGATTGTAGTTAAATTGCTGGTTGTGATGCAAACGTCTAGTATGATCCTGGTCAAATCACTCACATTTTTTGGGTATTAGTTTTCATCTGTAAAATGGGATAATACTTTGTCTCATTCTATAATGTCTTGTTGATTTAGATTGAGAGCTCTTTATGGCTGGAACGGTCTTATTTTTTCTGGCTGAACCACCCCTACCACAATGAGGCCATGCTGTAAATTTTTATAATGTGTAATAACTTAATTTACAATGTCTACTGTATATTAAGTAATAGACAAAATATGGTATGTCAGAGAAAACCCTGCAAAACTTCTTGCATTACAGCCTTTGAAATGGCTAGAGAGTCAACTAAGAATTAGCACAACCCTGAATAGGGTCTGCCTAGATGGAGTCTTTTGAAAGATAAACAGAAGCATGTGCTAAATAGATTTGAAACACAGCTTTAATGATTTTTAAAAAGAGTAAGAAAGGGCACCTTCCTTGGAACAAATTCTGAAGTACAATTAGGAAGATTTCAAGTGGAGAGCAGTTTTGAAGATAATCAGGTGTCATTTACATGGTTGTAGAATGCATGGCAAGTAATGAATAAAGCCTTTTCTCTGGCAAGCTTGGCAGTACAATAATATTTGAGTCAATTATAGTACCTGTTCTATATACTCCAGCACAATGAAATTCAGAATCCTCATTAAGATTTATATGCACTCTAGTTTTCAAATACAAGCAACTCTACAGTATATTGAACCAGAAGAACAAGTTGATGTTTATAGTAAACACTTTTAATTTGACTGAGAAAAAGAAGGGGGGACCTCCCACAACCCAACACCTCTGAATAATAACATTTCAAAAGGGATTGCTCTCTATTTAGTGCATAATCCTTTGGATTTAATATACTAGAAATTATTTAGGTAATCACAGCTGGATTCATCATTGTGTGGAATCAAAAAGAAAAAAACAACCAACCCCAAAACAACCAGCACCTGACTGTGATCTATTTTCTCTGTGTGGCATCTCCATGTTCAGTATCCAAGGATAATTAGCTCAATTGCATCCATTTTGGGTGTTCTCAGTAGCTACACTTCTCTCTCTCTCTCCCTCCCCCCCTTTATTTTATACCACGATCTATGTGGGGAATAAAAGTCTCCTTCTTTCAAACCTCCCACACCAGGAAATGCACGAGCTAGGCTTTCATTTCTTTGTAGCTGGTGGGTTTGTTTCTCCACCACCCTTTCGTAGGAAAGAAAAGACAATCAGGACAAATGAAGACTTCATCACCATGATCATCCCCAAGACAGCTGGGGAGAGAGCCACCGGGGAAGGGGAAGTTTCACAGCGAGCCTGCGTCATTCTGGGCTACAGCGCCTCAAAGAAGTGAAAGTATTTGTCACCCGCAGGCAGCAAGGTATAATAATGGTATAGAGAAGGGCCCCAGAAGGAATGGGGGGTTGTGTTTTGTGGGGGGGTGGGGGTCTTCACACAGATTGTTTTTGATAATTAATGGGCTTCTTGCTAAATGACATTTTCTCCCTCCAATTAGTGGCTGGGGCCTCCCCTCTCCAGTATAAAATTAACACTTGGCGGGGAAAGCGAGGCGTTAACCCTTTCGCCCCCGCCTCAGAGCCGGGGTGTGAGGGACGGGCGGGAGAGAAGAAACCTCCCTTCACCCCCCTGGAATGGGAGTTGCCAGTTTGATCCTCCTTCCCTCTCTCCTCCTCCGGCGCGGGGAAGGGAGCGAGGCGCGCGGGCAGCAGCACCCGGCTGCCTGGG